AAGATGAAGGAGGAGGGAGAAGAAGAAAGAAAAGAAGGAGTAAGAAGAAGAAGAAAAAGAAGGAAAATAATAAGAACGAAAGAAAAAGGGGTAGTAAGAGAGAGTCGTAGAAGTGGAAGGGTAAGAAGAAGGAAAGAAAAAAGAGGAGTATGAGAGAGCAGAAGAATAGGAAAAAAAGAGAAAGAAAAGAAGCAGTCGAACTAAATAGGTCGAGATATGCAAGAATCGACCAAGCGATAACAATGAAATAAAATCCTGTGCCCTTTGCCGTGCTTTGTTCGTTTTTCTGATCTTTATCTCTTTTTTGATCCATGTTATTGCGATGTCAGTTTGAAGATGACAACTATACCCCCCCCTCTCTCTCCCTCCCCCAGGCTTTCTCCCCTTCATGTTTCTATTGTCGGATACTGTCCACTGAATCCTTAGCCACTTCGCGACCCATAGTAATGAGGTAGATTCAAGGTTGGCAGGTGTTGAGCGAGGGGATGGAGGAGGGGGGGGGGGCAAAAGGAGGGAAGGCTGGAGGGGTGACAAGATCGAGGTGACATTGAGCTCCCATCCCCTCTACCCCCCACCACCACCCCTGCCACATCCTCCTCCTCCTCCTTCCCCTCTCAGCCTTCTCCTCCTTCTCCTTCTCCTTCATCTTCTCCTTCTGCCCTTCCCTCCTCCTCCTCCTCTTCCTCCTACTCCTCCTCCCCCTCCTCCTCCCCCCCCCTCCTCCTCCTCCTCCTCTTCCTCCTCCTCCTCCTCCTCCTCCTCCTCCTCCTCCTCCTCCTCCTCCTCCTGCCCTTCCCTCCCTCCCGTCTCCCCTTTCTTCTCCTCTTGCCCCGCGGAAAGACATCTATTTCTGAGCGGCGAAGAGGAAGACACGTGATGCCCTCTCCGCGTGACGGCCGCGACGAGGGGGGCAGCGCGTTCCGTGGCAGGTCTTTATGGCGGGCCTCCGGTGTCGCAACAGAACCGACCCCGTTGCTAATCGTCCCGCTAATCAGCTGCTGGTTTCGGCCGCGTTGCTTGTCTGTCTTCGCTCTCTTCTCTTCCTTCCTTCTCTTCCTCGTCTTCTTCTTCTTCTTCTTCTTCTTCTTCTTCTTCTTCGTTTGCAGATATTTCCCTCTCTCCGTTTTTTATCCTCCTACCTTTTAATTTTTTTTCTTCCCCCTCTTCCCCCTCCCTTCCCTTCTGTTGCCTCCTCCTCCTCCTCCTCCTCCACCACCTCCCTTTCCTTATGTTTCCTCCTCCTTCTCCTCCACCTCCACCACCTCCCTTCCCTTCTGTTTCCTCCTCCTCCTCCTCCACCTCCACCACCTCCCTTCCCTTATGTTTCCTCCTCCTCCTCCACTTCCTCCACCTCCTTCCCACCATCAAAAGCACCACTACTACTGCAGGTTCATCTAGAGTGGGGAGACATTTTAGTTCAGGGTTGCGCCACGGACTTCACTTTCACTCTCGGCAGACGTCATCTCCCACGTTGTAGGAGTAGATGCAGCATCCATAATCTTCTCTTCCTCCTCCTCGCCCTCCCTTCCTTCTTCTCCATTTTGGTCCTCCACTCTCCTTCCTCCTTGATCACTCCTTGATATCTCTTGATTTGTTTTCCCTTCCTCCCCCCCCTCCCCCTCTTATGTACATGTTATTCTTTTCCTCCCTCACTTCGCTTCACTTCTCTAATCCCTCCATCTCGTCTGTCTCGCTTGTTTATCCATTTTCTCTCGCGTCTGCTCTTTCGTCATCTTTCCGACTTAGCAATGGAAGTAGGACAAGACTCGTCCACCAGATTTAGCGTCCTATCTCACCTAAGTCGAGAAGGACTTTGAGACGTACTTGGCACTCGAACCGTTTCCCTCCTTACGCCTCTCTCTCTCTCTCTCTCTCTCTCTCCCTCCCTCTCTCTCTCTCTCTCTCTCTCTCCCTCCCTCCCTCTCTCTCTCTCCCTCCCTCTCTCTCTCTCTCCTCTCTCTCTCTCTCTCTCTCTCTCTCTCTCTCTCCCTCTCTCTCTCTCTCCCTCTATCTATCGATCTATCGATCTCTATCTCTATCTCTTCCTCTCTCTCACTTTCTCTTTCTATCTTCTCTTTCCTTTTCTCTTCTTTTTCTTTTTCCCTTTCTCCTTCTTTCTAAGTCTGACTGTCTGCTTTTTAAACATAAATCTAGATGGGTAAATAGCTAGATATATAAAAGAGAGAGTTGATAGGAAGGTAAAGAAAGAAAGGAACTCACATTCTTTGCTATGTTATTCTCAACCGCCTTTTTTAATTACTATAATGTTGCCAGAGCGAATCCATCCACGCTAGAAATATTTATGGTTGTGTTATAAACATTACTCCCCTTTCACTAAAATTTAGCACGTGGGCGCCGCAACCCAAGTGTAATTAAACGAGGTTTTACAAGGGATGAGCAACCACACCCGCTCTCCATGGTGCAACTCGGATACCGAGACAATGCGCTATGCAGAAGAATAAGATACATGGGGTAGAAAAATACGATACATGATACTGGAATGGATTAATAAAGAGGATGCTGTCACTGTAGGATCACGTGTACTCTGAGTAACGTGTGAGCCATTGTGTGCCTTTTTTTTTTTCTTTTTCTTTTTCTTTTTTTCCGAGCCAACCCGTGACTGTGTTTCAGAGTATCTTATTGCGCGGTTGCACATGGATATGGATGGGGGGGGGTAGTGCCGATAGGGGAGGGGGAGAGGGATGGGGGTGTCCTAGGTAGAAGCTATGGGGCCATTATCCCGGCGGAATGGCATGGTCTGTTAAAGTATGTTTGGCTATTTCTGCACGTAAAATAGTTGTCGGTTATTCGTGCATGTGTTGAGTTACCTGCCTTGATTTTTTTTCCAAGTATCGGTGATTTGCCTACGTGGATGAGTAGAGTGAACGGGTGAGGAACGAGGTTAGTTTAGGTTTGAGACGAAAAAAAAAATATATATATATATGTATATATATAAACCATTAAAAAAATGGTTTATATATTTGTTTATCTTGCGCTGACCCAGTTCCTTTGGCCTCAAGATGCAGCGCTGCTTTTCTCGTTTATCGAAGCACCCAATATAAGAGGTGCGGTCTCGTGTGTGTGTTGGGGGAGGGGGGGCGGCGTCGGACTGCATGTGTATATATGTGTGTGTGTGCGTGTCTGTGTCTGTGTCTCTTTCTGTGAGTATGCTTGTGCATGTTTTCGTTGCTTATTCAAACGAAGCCTGATCCTTCCAGCGACTCGCACGTATGTAAACAAGCGCCTCCGCATTCACACATGTAGGCAAACAGATCCCGCGACGACAGCTCTTTAGTCAGCGTGCAGTAGCAACGGCAAACGTGCTGTTTATATTTTTGTCTGGCATAACTCCATATCTTATTTGTAATTGTTAATTAACTTTGAAAATATGGTCATTATCTCCAATAGGAATTATTGCGCATTTTATAGTCAAGACAATAGGCTTTGTTGTTCTGTTAGATATAATATGATCACTGCTGACCAGTCGTAAAGAGGATGGTGCCTTTAAAGCTATTATGGCATTAGATAGATGTGTAAAATTCAGTTCAAGCCGGATCGATTTTTATTCTTAATTAAGTATCGCGATGATACTACAAGTGTGTGATTGGTATGTGGGAGGGTGCAGGTGCCAGCCACACTGGTGTAGTTAGAAGGGAAAGGGAAGAAGAAAACAGCAAATGGAATGGGGAGCTTCTCGATGATTATCATATTTGTTGTTGTTTAAGCAGTTATATTATTGTATTTTTTTCGGTTTTGTTAGCATTACTAACATGTGATGCACAGAATTGAAAGAAAATGGACATCGTTTCTTCATACCTTCCTTCCTTCCTTCCTTCCTTCCTTCCTTCCTTATCCCTTTCTTATTCCATCGGTTGAGCCACGTCCTAGTTTCCACCTTGTGCCCCGGAAAGTTTCCTTCCCCTAATAATAGTTCCTGTATGTCCCTAAGTTATGAGCGGACGTGGCTGGGTTGTAAGGAGTGGAGAGAATGGGTGAATGTGGTGGAGAGAGAGAGAGAGAGAGAGAGAGAGAGAGAGAGAGAGAGAGAGAGAGAGAGAGAGAGAGAGAAGAGAGAGAGAGAGAGAGAGAGAGAGAGAGAGAGAGAGAGAGAGAGAGAGAGAGAGAGAGAGACTCACAGGAAGGAAGAAAACGAGAAAAAAGAGAGAGTATGGACAGACGAAGACGCCCAGCTGCAGAGGGAGGGGAAAAGAGAGTAGCGAGACCTGGAAGTCGAAAGGGAGGGGAAGAGAGGGGAAAGGGAGGGGGAGAGAGGGGAAAGAGAGAGGCCCGATCTGCAAGGGCTTCCGGGAGTGGCAATGGATAATACTGCAGTGTGTTGCTCACGGAAGGACCCCCGAGAGCCCCTGTATGCGCCCGAATTGCCAAACTCTCTCTCTCTCTCTCTCTCTCTCTCTCTCTCTCTCTCTCTCTCTCTCTCTTCTCTCTCTCTCTCTCTCTCTCTCTCTCTCTCTCTCTCTCTCTCTCTCTCTCTCTCTCTCTCTCTCTCTCTCTCTCTCTCTCTCTCTCTCTCTCTCTCTCTTTCTCTCTTTCTCTCTTTCTCTCTTTCTCTCTTTCCCTCTTTCCCTCTTTCCCTCTTTCTCTCTTTCTTCCCCCCTCTCTCCCCCTCTCTCCCTCCCTCTCTCCCCTTACGCTTTATTGGATGAACTTGGGTTATAGTCGCGGGGTGTATTTTATTTAACAGTGTCGTTTTTTTCTCTAGTGTCTTAAGTAAAAAGTAGATTTGATATTGATAATGATGTTTGATAATGGTAGTAATGATAATGATGAGTATTGTTATTCTTTGTCTCATTTGTATTATCTATGTTGCTTGTCTCATTTGTATGATTTGTGTTGTTATCGTATCGTCTGTGCTATTTGTATTGTTATTATCTGTTATTGCTGTCATTTACAATTATCAGTTACAGCGTCACAACTTTCCCATCTGATACGACCTCCTCCATTCATCTCAATATTAACCCTTTCTTTCTCTCTCTCTTCAGGAACACTGGACCTTCCTGGGCGAGGATGAAGTCCACGGCCCCGTCGTGCTGAGCCACAAGACAGAGGTGATCAGCTCGCAGGAGAACACCCGGGTCCTCCTGCGGCTTAAGACGGGCACGCACCACGCCATCATCAACCTGGGAGACAACCCGACGCCGGCGAAGATGGCTAAGGTAGATGGCGCTCTCGAGGTTTCTTGGTCTTAGGACTGATTTGGTGTTTCAGTTTTTTTTCTTGTGTTTTTCTTGATTCTTTTTTTTTTTTTTAATTCTCATTCTTTTTTTTTCTTATTCTCCTCCTCTTCCTCCTTCTTTGTGAGCTATGCTTACTCTTTTCTCTTTATTTGTGTATTATTATTATTATTATATGTATTTACATATGCGTGTGTGTGTGTGTGTGTGTGTATGCCTATATACATCATTCCTCTTCTTTATACGATGTGCGTTGTATATCATCTGTTCTTTTATCATCTGTATATATTTCGGCATTTTCTTCCTTTCGCCTTTAAAAGAAAACTGGAAATGATTTTGTCCTTCTATCTTGGAATGGAACTGGAATCACTTACGAAAGTAGGACAGTCGATTACAAACCAAATGAAGGCACTCTAAGTGATGCTGCAAAATACCTCTATTGCTTTCATTGAATTGTGTCATCGTTTGAAATCCGTTTAGCTAGCCTGCTCGGAAACTTTTTATTTTTACTGTCCTCAATTCAGTCGCTGGAAACTCTCTAAAAAAAAGAGTCCGTAAATACATTTCATATAAAGAAGGCGAGGGACAGATATGAAAAAAAATTGATTCAAGAGTATTATTGGTGGAAGCCATTCCCCGCGACACATATGCAGGTTGCCAGACGCTGCCCTGGTCATTAACCGAGTAATTAAAAGAAGTAATTATGGCCGCGCTGACAGATAGGCGGAGGGAAATGAAAAAGGATAAGGGGAAGTGGGTCATCGCTCCTTTCCCCATCCCGGCACTGGGCCAAGGGCATTCGTGGGTAATCGTTGGCACTGGTCACCTGAGAGGACTTATGGGGATTTTTTTTACTCTCGGGAACATTGCGGGAAAAAATTTCTTCATATCTGTTACGCAATAGTTGAGAGGATAATAATGCTAATGCGCCGATTTCCACCAGGATCTCTAGCTAGGCTTGCTTCCATTGCAGTCCTAAAGAAATGGAAAAAGAAATACCAATGACACATTAGAGAAAAGAGGTCGCGTCGGCACTGCCTTCGGCCGGGAGCATAAACCGGCCAGCGATAAAGCAGATAGATGAAAACCCGCGCACGTGACAGGCAGACTGGAATTGGCGTGGGCAAGCGGGACCATAAGAGCCTTTGGTGATGATTGTAATGGTGATGAAATTAGAGAAAGGGATAATAAAGACGAGATGCGCATCAGATAGATAGGATAATGAGTGACGTAAAGATGATGTTGATTTTTTTCGCGCGCGCCCCGGAGGCTAGCGGATTGAGGGTAAGTCGTGATAAATTCTACAAAGGGGGGGAGGGGGTGCGAGGGGAGCAGAGGCCACAGTCAATTGTGCCTGCTGGTGGAAGGGGGGCGGGGGGGACTTTGTTGTGGGAGGAAGGGGTTGGGGGGAGTCCTTGCTCAAATCCAGGTCATGTCAGGATTACTGCGTCAGGAGGTGGGAAATGGAGAGAGGGGAAGGGGGTGGGGGACTCTTCCTATAAAATATGTAGATTTTCATGCGCTTGCCACTCCTGCAACATCCATCCCCCCCCCCACCCCGAGTTTGTATTGTTTTATATTCGGTGAATAAATTTTTCAGCGACGAGGAAAGAGGAAATGCACTGGCGGGCTTGCATTTTGTGTCCTGTATGCGGGAGGAGTTAAAGTGGCCTAACACAGTTTCCCTGTCCTGTGATGGCGGGAAACTGGGTCATCCGAAGTGGGCCACGACCGAAATAAAAAGGCTTGGCGAAGCGGCATTCGTCTCCTGTGCTGCTGACGGCGCGGCAGGAGGGGTCCTTTGATGGAACGGCCGGCGAGGGGGGTGGGGTGAACGTTGCCGATGTCGCCGAGGGCACTCTGATAGGGCATCTGAGTTTCAACTTTTCGAATCAAGTCGCCCTCTGCGTTTCCCTCTCCTCACTCCTCTTCTTCTTCTCCTTCTTCATTTTCTTCACTTTCTTCCCTCATCCTCTTCTCCCTCCTTCACCTCCTGCTCATCTTCAGTCGCCCTCAACATCTTCCTCCTTCTCCTCCTCCTCCTCTTCGTTTTCCTCACTTTTCTTCATTTCCTTCCATTCCTAGCCATACATCGCATCTTCCTGCAGCGTCTTATATTAACCATATATCCCCTAACGACATTTCTCTGTCTTTTCACATTTATACTACTCTCCGTATCTTTTCCATCATATTTTAATTGTAAATGAACCGAGACTTTGATAACAAGACTAGTCTTCTATTTTCCATCCATCAGTACCGCTTTCTTGTCTCGTCTCTCTTTCTCTTTCTCTTTCTCTTTCTCTTTCTCTTTCTCTCTCCTTCTTTCTCTCCCTCCCTCCCTCCCTCCCTCCCTCCCTCCCTCCCTCCCCGTCTATCAGTGCTGAAATTTCCAGAACAAGCGGGACGTGACTGAGAGTTCCCTGAAATCAGCTGTTATCGGAGGCCGCTTCCTGGCCGCGGTTATAAAGTCGACAAGGAGAGTGGAAGGGCGAGCTATCGGGAGAGAGACGTGCATTGTCTCCCAAGGCCGGACGTTTGTTGAGAAAAGGCTGATTCTGACTTGGCCACTTTGTCACTCGGGCTTCTGTAGATAACCGGAAGAAAACGTGAACGTGTGTAAGGGCGTTTTCAGTTGTGTCTGTCTGTCTGTTCGTCTTTCTGACTGTCTTTCTTTTTTCTTTCTATCTTTTTTCTTTCTTCCTTCCTTCCTTCCTTTCTCCCCCCCCCCCTCTCTCTCTCTCTCTCTCTCTCTCTCTCTCTCTCTCTCTCTCTCTCTCTCTCTCTCTCTCTCTCTCTCTCTCTCTCTCTTATAAGAAGCAACAGCTAAGCTCAGGATGACACATGATCCATAAAAAAGAACGGAAGGAGAGACTTGGCGCTATTAAGGACACTGTTACGACCTTGGACAAATGCGATATTCGATCTCTGATGTTTATATTAATCCCCCCTCTCTCTCTCTCTCTCTCTCTCTCTCTCTCTCTCTCTCTCTCTCTCTCTCTCTCTCTCTCTCTCTCTCTCTCTCTCTCTCTCTCTCTCTCTCTCTCCCTCTCTCCCTCTCTCCCTCTCTCCCTCTCTCTCTCCCTCCCTCCCTCCCTCCCTCCCTCCCTCCCTCCCTCTCCCTCACCCTCTCTCCCTCTCTCCCTCTCTCTCCCTCTTCTCTTCTCTTCTCTCCCTCTTCTCTTCTCTTCTCTCCCTCTTCTCCTCTCTTCTCTCCCTTAAGGAAACATGTAAACGCTTTTAGTTATATGTTACTTTGGCTCCGCGAAGTTTTAGAGAATCGGTGCGAGCGGCAAATTGTTATCCTCCCTAGCACACTGGCGCACTTAGTTTCTTGGAAATTCTTGTTATAACAGACGTGATACTCTACAACATTGGATTTGCCTTTAATTTATTATTGTGTTTTTTCTCTCTTTCTTTTTTTGCTACGAATTCGTGAACGGTTAAACGGAGACCAAAATTGAATACGATAGTAAGTGATACCGGAAGAAAAGACACAAAGTATGAAAACGAATACAAGGAAGAAGAAAAACGCGAACAAGAGAGAAAAAACTAAAATGTTTTACGCTCGTCGCAATACTTGTCCCGCGTGAAAGGGGACACTAAAGCAAATTGGAATAACCTCCTTGCATGGCGAGTCCCAGGGATCACTTCCACCTCGGGTCTTTTTGCCGAGGAAACCAAAGACGCTGGTGCCAGGAGGTCTAGGAGAGAGAGAGAGAGAGAGAGAGAGAGAGAGAGAGAGAGAGAGAGAGAGAGAGAGAGAGAGAGAGAGAGAGGGGGGGGGGGGGGAGAAGGGATGGAAGAAGAGACATACTATTAAGATTATGTATATTTGTTGTATTCATCTTACCGTTTGAACTATTCTGCTTTGTTATTTTTTCCAACTTGTTTTATCTTCATGTTACTCTCTCAAAAATGAAAGTGTAAAAAGATATTGAATCCGTTATCCTTCAGCGTTAGTGCTTCTGATCTAGACTAATCCCAAAAAACAAATCATTCCTAGTCATTTATCACTAGGCGATCGTGTACATACTCGCGCGCGCGTTTACACAGCTGTTTCTAAGTAGTCGGGATATATTTATATATAGAACCACAACACCTGCGCCAGGATTTTAATGGAGGATGATGGGCACTTGTTCGATAAATGAACTGCGGGGGTTCAAGGCCACGGGGAGGGCCGCCCGGGAAGGTAAACAGGTCGGAAAGGAGGGAAGGAAGGAGGGAAGGAAGAAGGGAGGGAGGGAGACTAGGAAGGGAGGAAGAAGGGAGTGGTAGATAAACTAAGAAACTTTTAATAATTTTGACAAATAAAACACATTCATAACAGTTATTATGTTCATGATGATATTAGTAATATTGATATGATACTGGTAATAGTTTAAAAAGTAGGTGCTCTTAGAATGATTAACGGGAAGGAAAGGAAAAGAACTTTTCATGCAACTCAGCAAGATAACTTGCTGAGTTCCCCCGTCTCCCCCTCTCCTACCCTCTCCTTCCTTCCTTCTTTCCTTCTCCCACCTCCCCCTTGCCCCCAACCCCCCTCCTTCCTTTCCCCTCTTCCTCCTCTCCATCCTACCCCTCTCCCCGACCCCATCCCCCCCTAATTCCGCCCCTAATCCGCCCCAGAGGTACCGTTGGTCATGGCAGCGCGCCGGGCATTTGTCACACTTGCCACTTCCTATAACGGGGCCTCGTGGATGGCACCCGGAGGCAGTTAGGGGCGCCGTCTGGTGGTGCCCCGGAGTCTCCTGCCGAGGGTGTGCGGAGCCTTATAAGGGGGGGGGTGACGGGGGGAGAGGAGGAGGAGGAGGAGGAGGAGGAGGAGGAGGAGGAGGAGGAGGTAGGATGGGATTTTTGTATTTCTGTGAGGAGACTAGGTTTTGTGTGAGGGAATGTGTCCGTCTATTTTTAGATAGATAAATTGACTGATAGATATACAAATAGATAAATAGAGATGATGCTTATCCTCTATTTTTATTTGT